ATACCCCCAAAATAAAACAAGCCACATTCCCAAGAGTAGCAGACAGTTTCAGTCACCAACTCCGGAAATTGACCCATTCCATGGTCAAAGTTAAATTCTCAAAGACCCATAATGTCAGGAAAGTCACAACTTAAAGTAAAAGGAAAAAAAAAACAGTAATAAAATGTAAGGTACAACAGCCATTTGTTTAAAAGCATAGGTGTGCATGAGAATACAATTGGGGGGCCTCCCTGGTGGCACAGGTGGTTGAGCGCAGCACTGTGAAGCTGTCCGCAGCCTCTGCAGTGTGGGTTTAATCCCGCCGGCAGGCGAGAATCCCACATGGTGAGCAGACCTCTCCTGTCGCGCCCGCTGCTCCCCTCAGCAGTGTATTTCGTCAGTCTGCCTGTTCTGCTCCCTGCTCTGTCTCTGGTGAATCCTCTCACCCTCCCGCGCCTCTGGCCTGTACCCCGGTTCTTGTATAAATAAATAAATCTTTTTAAAAAAAAAAAGAATACAATTGATGGGGATACAGCAAACTTCAATAGTGGTGAGATTCTGGCTAGTTTCATTTTCTTCCTAGGCTTATTACATTTTCCAGTTCCACGAGGAGATGGCTAGTTTATAATCAGGAAAATAAAACTGCTGCTATTTTTAAGAAAGAGAAGCAGAGTCACCTTGGAGTTGCTGGGAAAGGGTCGGTGGAGCCTCCAGGGAAGCATCAGCTTTTGTCCCTTTGGCTGAGCGATTGCTTACTTCCTCAGGCTGACAAGTCCCTGCTCCCGCGAAAGAGGGAAGAAAGGTCACTGGGGTGGGGGGGCAGAGTCCCCAGAGAGTTGGGCCTTGCAGAGGCGGGGTTGGTGATGTGGCTGGGCCAGCGCCTTCCCGCTGAGGCCGGGGCTGGGTCCCCAAACACTCAGATGTCCCCAGGTTGACAGTGGCCCTTCTCCAGGAGGCTGTCCCCAGCCAGGGGTCCACAGTTCACTGACCCAAAGTGGGACAGGTGCCCTTGTTTAATTTCGCCCACTTCATCTGCCCTCCCAGCCTGCCCCTCGCTACAGCCCCACGTGTCACAGTCTGGGCATGAGAACCAGCTCAGCTCCTCCCTGGTGCCATGGGCTGTGACCTGCAGATCACGTGGCTTTGGCTAGAAAAGGTGGTGAAAGAGCCCAGGCATTCAGCCTCCCACCCGGGGAGCCGTGTGCACCTTCCCATGACATGCCCAGGGCTTGGCAAGGCTGTGTGCCCTGGAACGGACCTCGCTCTGCATTCTGAGAGGCCAGGCCCAGAGAAAGACGGCCCCTCGCCTGCTGGCTATGGTTTCCCAAACCCAGGAGCCTTTCCTCCCTGTGGCTCCAGAGCCAGGCAGGGGCGCTGGGGGTGTCCTGTGAGTTCAGGAGCTTAAAAATCCTCCTGCTCACTCCTTTGTTTACCAAAGGAAAATATGAGACACAGCGAGGACAAGCAGCTCAGGACCTCACAGCATCTCACAGCGAAGGCCCCCCAGTTCTCAAGCTCCCGTGTGTGCACTGCAAGACCCTGGGGGTGAGGGGAGTATGGGGATGTTCAAAACTCACCCCCTGGCTCCTTACCGGGGCACTCACTCAGGAGGACCTAGAATCTGCATTCCAAGCAAGCTTCTTGGGTGATGGTTCACCAATTAGTGTTTCCAGGCCCTCCCGCTTCACTGTAAGCAAAGACGAGGACAGACTCCACGAGAAGTTTCCAGATCATTGCATGCTGAGAAGGGGGTTCCCCTGCTGCTTCCCTGTGTCCCTGGACCCCCCACTCTCTCCCTCTTTACCCCAGTTGCCCACCTGCAAGGTTCCCCAAGTCTCTGCCCTTTGGATCTAGGGCCCCTTCCACTTAAAGAGGACCGGTGGCTGTCCCCATGGCAACGCACCGTCAGAAAGCTCGGAGTCTTCATGGGGAACCACCAGACCAGGTGCAGATTCCGGGGCTGGAAGGTTAGCCGAGAACTGGGGTGGGGGCGCCCTGGGGATTCTCTCACTCTCCCCTTCTCTGCCCGTCAGAAGTAGAGGTTTAGTCGGACACCCCTGAAAGCAAGCTCACCTGAGCCGCTGGCTGTGGAATTGTGCAACCCCTTTGCTTTGTGCCTGTTTCTTGAGGGTGAAGGAACCTGCCAGGCACGGCTGCTGTATCACAGCAGATGGCACCTGTAAATGGCCAGGTACCCCGCACTGTTGGAGCTGCTCAAGTCCCCTGCCTCGGCCCACTGCATCTCTGGGGAGGAGGTCACGGAAGGCGAGAGAAAGGCGAGGGAGACAGCACACCCTTTGCTCCTCCTTTGGAATTCCCTCCATGGTAGAGGCGGGGCACCTCCCTGGCCTTCTAGCCAGGGAGAGGGGGGAGGGGGCCATGCTCCAGGGGCCTGATTTCCCTTGGTGGAGGAGGGTGGTCATTGTGGTGGGGGCTGGGAGCCGGGAGGTCCTGTTTTCAACCTGGGCTACCTCGTAGCACGCCGGCCACCCCGCTGGCCTTCCAGTTAAAATGGACTAGTAATGGCAGCACGAAGGCTGCCGGTACCGACGGCGTGCCAGGCATTGTGCTAAGTACTTTATCAACAGTTCTCTCTCACCCTCCCAACAGCCCGAGCAGGGGGGTACTGGTCTTGAAGGTCTCGAAGCCAGGCCTGTGGAGCCTGAGTCAGGGGCCCTTGGCCACGTGCTCTGCTGCCTCTGTGAAAATTTCAGCAGCACAAATACAGGAGCGGGCAGGGGGCCGCTGACACCTACATGCACCTAGGTGCCCGGGCACTCTTGGGCCTTTATTAAGACGAACTCTTCAAACCCGACAGCAAACACGGTGCGGGAGCTGCTACCGCAGCCCGAGGTTAGGGGCGGGGAAACTGAGGTTCAGAGAGGCCAGGGGCTCACCTTGGCTCGTAGGTCTGAGTCCCCGTGGGAACTCAGCCCTCGCATGGAGGCCGGCTCTGGTTCACATCTGCAGGGACACAGCTCTGGCCACACCATGTGGCACGGGCAGGGCGCCATGACCACGCCCACCCCCAGGGGGTGCTGGATCCCTGCAGAGTGGCCCTCGAGCTGCCTCTATCCTAGTGGCCCCGATGGGACCAGTCTTCCACCAGCGCCTGCTCAGATCCTGCCCCGCTTCCCCACCCTGGCCGTCCCCTACACACATCACAGACAGTCGGAGGAACGTTTATGTTCACCACATAAAATGTGGCCTGGCGTTCAGCCACATTACCTGGTCTTGACCCTGACAAGCACACGGTCAGATGGACCATGGAGCAGCCCGTGACCCGATTCCACACATGGGGAAGACGAGGTTCAGAAAAGTTAAAGCGACCCACCCAGAGTCACCTAGTTTCTAAGCAGGACTCAAACCTGCATCTTCTGACTCCAAGTCCAGGATTTTGTAAAGACCTCAGAGGTCAACTCAAGTACTTCAGAGATGAGGACGCTCAGGCCCAGGCAGGGGACACGGCATGTTCAAGGTCACAGACGCCCAGGGCAGAACTGAGTGTCAAACCCACAGCCTCCGGCCCAGAACACCTGGCCCTCATGCGGGTGACGGGGGAGCCAATTATACCAACTCAACTAACCGTGGGGGCTGATGCCAACCTGCCAGAAGGCGACAGCAGGGCCGTCAGAAGGAGCGTACCCGCTGCACGCTGCGGTCTTCACCGGCACGTCCTTTCCCAGGACAATCTGCTGGGGGAGGGTCTGGGCCTCCAGGCAGGTGAACGGAGGCAAAGCTGAAAGTTGGGAGCAGCTCGGTGGTCGTGCCAGCCTGGTTTTGACCCTGACAACCACACGGTCAGATGAACTATGGAGTGTCCCCAATCTCACACTCGGAAAGATGAGACTCAGAAAAGTCAAGCGTGCCAGGAGTGCCAGCCGAGGGGCTGTGGCTGCTGTGCAGTGACACCCCGAGGCTGGTTCATGCTTGTAGCTTATGGTGAGAGCAGCAGGGACTGAACAAGTGAGCACGGGGATTCAGGTACTGCTGAGCCGTGTCCTCACAAACTTCATACATGGGAAAAAAGATTCACTTGATCTAAGTCTGCACCCATGCCACTGTTGGTAGTGATCTGGACAGCTCTGGTTTCTATTCTGCCAAGCCCCTGGGGGCAAGGTGGGAGGCAGAAGCTGACTGAGAGGCCCCTCCTGGGCCCCATATGCACAGGCTCACCAGCGCAAGACAGGAATCCACGGAGGGGAGGGACAGTCCCCTGATCCCCCTCCTGGGGCTCTTCCCCCTGCATGGGGCCCTCTCCTGCGTCCTTTTGCTTGTCTTCACAGGGACCCTTAACTGCTGTGCCCTGGTGTTCCCTTCTGCCAAGTGGGTATGTATGTCCTTGTCACTGTTGATAGCGCCCACCAGGGAGGCAAAGGGTAGGCCGGCCCACAGGTTTTTCTCCAGCTGTTTAACACCTGGGCTGCAAAGGCACAGAACAACTGCGTCACTGGCCCCCAGTCACTGCCATTATTCCCACCAGGAATATTCTTCACTCCTCTAGATAGAGGAGCAGGCTGATAGCTGAGAAACGGGGACCTGCTTGGGGTTCTCGGAACTGCCTGACTCTCAAGATTCAGCGTAGCGAGCCTGAGGCCCTGGGAGCTGAGCCGCCTCACACAGGAGGGGGCCTTCCACGCAAGGGGTCCATAAATAACCTGCCCCCACCATTCTAGGATCCAAAGCCCCATGAGTTGATGGGTCACAGGTGACCCACAAATACCTGGTACTGAACTTTAGAAAGTGAGATGTTGGGGAAACCAGGGAGAGGCAACACCACACCAGAGCCCCAAACTCCAGAGGATTCCCTCCGTGTCCCTCCCACCACGTCCCCAGCAGCGTCCCAGAGAAAGTTCAGGCCGGGGAGGGCTACCCCGGGAGCGCCTCTCATGCAGGGCAGTGGCCCGGAGCACCCCAGCCGCCTCCTCCAGGATCCTCCAGGCCCCTGTCTCTGTTGCTGGGCTGCGGGGGTCTCTCCCTGCTCCTGCCCTTAGTGCCCCAGCCCCGCCGGCCCGGCTCACCTTTGGGCAGCTTGGACTCGTTCTCCTGAATCCAGGAAAAGAGGTGGGCAAAGTCGCAGTCGCAGAGCCAGGGGTTCCCGTCCAGGCGCAGGGTGCGCAGCGCGGGCAGCGCGGCCAGGGCCGCCACGTTGAGGCTGTGCAGGTTGTTGTCGTTGAGTTCCAGCACCTGCAGCGACTCCAGGCTCTCGAAGGCGGCCTCGTGCACGCCCGCCAGGTTGTTGTTGGCCAGGCTCAGCTTGACCAGCCTGCCGGCCGAGCGGAAGGCGCCGGCGCCCAGCTGGGTCAGGTTGTTGTAGCTGAGGTCGAGGAAGGCGAGCTTGGCCGAGCCGCTGAACGTGCCCTCCTCCAGCGAGCGCAGCGAGTTGTTCCTGAAGTCCAGGTAGACCAGGTCGCCGTAGAAGATGAAGAAGTCCTCCGGGATGCGCTGGATGCGGTTGCCCGCCACCAGCAGCTTGCGCACGTCCAGCGGGAAGGGGTCGGGCACGCTGGGCAGCCCGCGGTCGCGGCAGTCCACGGTGTGCGGGTCGGTGCAGGCGCAGCCCGCGGGGCACGCGCGCCCGGGCCGGAGCAGCAGCAGGAGGCTGCAGAGCCCCAGCGCCGCGGCGGAGCTGGCGGGGCGGCGGGGCGCGGCGCGGGGGCGCATGGCGGGGCGCGGGGCCGGGGCGCGGGGCCGGGGCGCGGGGCGCGGCTCTCCGGCGAGCTCTGGCGCGGGCGGCGCGCGGGGCCGGGAGCGGGAGCGGGAGCGGGAGCCGGAGGGCGTGCGCCTGGGCGCGCGGGGACGCCAAGCCCGGGCGCACGGACCAGGGGAGCCCGGGTCGGCGGTGACTGAGCAGGGAGAGTCGGGGAGGGAGGGGCGAGGCACGAAGTGAAGGATTTGCCGGGACGGGAAATGAACGGGCTGGAAGAGGCCGGGGAGAGGGAGAGCCGCAGGGGTGGCCGAGTGGCTGTCGCCAAAAGCGGCCTCGATCGAGACCCGGCGAGAAGACCAGCCCGCCGGGACTCGGCCCCCGGTGCTCCAGGAAACTTCGGCGCTGAGCGCCCTCCCCAATCCTAGCGGGCTCCAGGGGGCGTGGCAGAGGGGTGCGCCCACCCGCCGGCGCCCCCGCGCGCTCCCACTGCGCCACCCCAGTGGCCAAAAGGTGGACGACCTGGGTCACTCCGGCGCTGCACCCCGGGGCAGCCCCAAGGGCTGCGGACTTGTCTGGGGGTTGGGGGAGGCTCCCGCGGGGCCCCTGGGAGCTCTAGGGTGGCTGGCTCCCCGGCCCTCCCCCACCCACCCTTAATCCATCTCAGAGAAGCTCGCAGGTCAGGGAGGCAAACAGCTGCCAGGGCCCCCCTGCTGTGGCGCAATGGAAGGCCAGGGCCGGGTCAGCACTTTCCATGCTGGCCCCAGCTGGTGGTGGAGCTGGCAGCCCGGGCACGGTCTGTTGCCGCTCTCCAGAGGCCCACAGAGAGGCACTGTGACCTGGAGGCCAGAGGCTGGGCTTCAGTTGTGGGGCTTCTCAGCCAGCTTGTCCCCCTCTCTGGACCTCATTCACCCCATCTGTGAAATGGGAAAACGAATCTCAGCAGCTTTGAGGGAGGCCCCCAGGGTCAAGAAACAAAGTTTAAAAACCATCTTTCCCTCTGAATGTCCACTCCCTCCCGCACCAGACACCCGGCCGTGGTCCCCAGGGTAGATGGGCGGTCAGGAAGGTGCCAGGACAAAGGTCAGCCAGGTCAGTTCAGCTTCAGGCCCTGGCTGAAAACTTTCCTTTTCCATGTCCCTCCCAGTCAAACTTCCCCTTACCCCCTTTTAGAAACTTTTCTAAGAAGAGGTCCCCACAGTGCTACCTGACATTGTCCTGCTGGTGGCTTTTTGGTGCAAATCCCCTGAAATTGGTACATTCTTGGGGGACTGAAATTACTCAGCGAGCAGCTGCTGGCCAACAGGCGCAAGAGACCCTGCCCTGTCCCGTGCCCACTACCCCATGCGGATGGGTGGAGCTTGGATCCCAAAGCCACAAAGTTAAGCCCCTGGCCTTTTCCCAAAGGTACACACCAGCAGGCAACCTTCTGGTGGATCCAAAACCTGAGCCTCTAGGGCAGAGCCAAGGGCTCCGCAGAGGACAGGAGTCTGCAGGAGCCCGAGGGAGGTGGGGGCCAGGACCCCAGGGGATGCGTTGAGGTACTGGGGTCCCTCCTCTCTTCCCCTGCTCACACTCCAGGCCACCAAGCTAGACGTCCCAAGCCCCCTGTCTGTGTCCCCACTCTCCCAGGGTCCCCAGTTTACCTTTGACAGCCTCAGCTTCAGGGGCTCGGTGCCCTCTTGGGTCTCAGCCCCTTCAAGAGGCAGGTGCTACAGCCCAAGTCTGACTCCCTGACATGGGCACGTGACTGGTGCATTGTTGAGTGTCAGACAAAGCACAGGCAGGTGGCAGAACAAACAGGTCCCCACACTGTGACTCCCCAGGAGCAGGCTGGGGTGATGTTACCTCCTCTACCACTCCAGGCTCCGGTGCTCACTCCACGCTGGGGTGGGGGACCTGTTTATTACTGGTCTGAGCCCTCAGCACCCTGCTTCATGACTCCCACCTCCGGTCAGGCTGCCACACCCGTGGGCAGTGGCTCTACGAGTCTGTGCACCCTCCTACCCAGGGCCCGGTTGGCTGGGTCCTGGCCTGGGAGACACACGTGCATCTGGCCCTGGTCCCACCACCAGCCACAGTGCTTTTCAGGGGCCACTCGATGTTTCCAGAAAGGCGCTTCCCAGCCTGAGGTCTCTGGGCCCCAAGATAACTTTGTTTAAAAAAAATAAATAAATAAAACACGGGTGGAAATTGGGCCTTTACCCATGAGCTCACCCAGAGCAGCTGTTGCAGTTCTTGGCAGTGAGCTCGGTAGTAGCCCCAGATCTGTGCCGGGCAGAAACTGGCATCGTGGGTGCCTGATTGATGAAAACAAAGATGAATTGCTACTTAATAAATGCAAAGGCTTGCAAAGGGCTTGCAAAGGGCTTGCAAAGCCGGAGGCCCTGGGGACGTGAAGTCAGGAAAGTGGCCCTTGGTCATGAGAAATACCCCCTCCTGGTCTCCATCACCTCACCTTGAAACTGGGGAGAAAAATCCCTTTCCCCTTGCATGGATGACGCGAGAGCCGTTTGGGGACAGGGTGGCTGGGGAACGAACGTGCTGTGAAAGTGTTTGGAGAAGGCCCTGCATATAAACGTGGCCGGAAGTCGAGCTGTGGCAGGAACTCCTTGCTTCTTGCTTAGAGTCCCTTGAACGAAAATGGAAGCATTTTTCCCCAACAAGACCCCATGACTGGTGTGCATGGGGAGGGAGGAGCGACCCTGTTCCAGGGTCCCAGGAGGGGGGTTTGGGGAAGTGCAGGCTTCACCACCTCTGATCTTCCCCCAGCAAGGCAAACAGAGCCGTGACCTCAACAAGGTCACGCTGTGAGTCAGTGAGATGCTGGAAATAGAACTCAGGCATCCCTGCTCCAGCTGCTCCCCACAGCCTGCACCTCCCCGGGAAGGGGCCTCTGATGGACAGAGGAGAAGACATGGCAGGTGACTCGCCTTGTCCCAGCCTGTGATTCCCATTCAAAAGGCGGAGCTGTGCGGCAAGCACCCAGCCACCCGAGGAGTTCAGCACCCAATGTCATTCGAGCAAATTCCTTGCCCCTCCCCTGTGGTCCCCCAGCTGCATAGCCTCCCCCCCCAGTCCTGTCTCCTAGGGACCCCTGTCTGAGTCCCCATGAGGTTGGGCTTTGGGGCACTGCGCTGATGTCCCCCCGGGAAATCACCCACCTGGGGACCCTGTGAGCACAACGACCCAGTCCTGTGGGTTCCCCCAGTGGGTTGCCAGACTGACCTCAAAATTAGCCAAATCCTAGGCCCTAAGCTGTAAACAAGACCATTCCAGAAGGGTACGTGCTGGAGTCTGAATGTGGGTGCAGGTCTGGGTTTGAATGATAAGGAGCATGGCTGGTGTTCGGTGATGTCATCCAGCTACTGGCGTGTCACCTCTGATGAGCGCTGGGCTGGCCTGGGCCGGAGGCGTGAGGACACCCCAAGTGCCCCAGGAGAGGGAATGAGCTCTGGTCCCTTGTCTGGGCAGCCTGACTCAGTGGAACCGGGTCTTTTCTCTCTGTGTCTGTCCCCCAGCGCCGGCTAACTCCCCTCTCCAGCCTGCCCCCACCCGCCGCCCTTCCTCCCTGCCACCACCAGGCGGCAGCGCCTGCCCCGGGGAGACCCTGCTGTGCTCTCTCCACCTCCTCTGGTCAGCTGCGATGGTGCCAGCCCCACGCACCTTGCTCCCACTCTGCTCCTCTCTGGCGAGTCTGGACCCACTTTTTAGCAGAAAAGCTCCAGTTAGTTTCAACCTGGAAGCAGGGAATGACAGTGACTGCCGTCATGGAGACAGGGTACAAGTCCAGATGGGAACTCAGGTTTGGGCCTGGACAGACCTTGGGACACTCGCATAACTGTTCTGAGCCTCAGTTTTCCCATCCGTGAGATGGGAAAACACCAGCGCCTGCTCCACTGCTCTGCTGTGAGGATCAAATGAGAACTTGCCGGAGAGTCCCAAGCATGACCGGGAGCCTGGGCTGTCTGCTTCTCTCCCTGCTCGCTGCCTGCAGGGGCCGGTGTTCTTCGGGAGAAGAATTGACGCCTTTGTCTCTGCAATTGATTTGTTAGTGGCTCCCTGACACCGAGGGTGAGTTTTGTGACCCTCCCTGCCGGGAATCATGTTCCAAACTTCAACTGTGTCAGCGCCGACACACACACACACACACACACACACACACACACACACACACACACACACACACACACATACACCCCTTGGTTGTCTGCAGCTCAGGCTGACTGAGCACCCTGACAAGGGAACAGCTTCTCCCCTGCACCCCTAGTCTCCCCCCAGCTCCCCGGCTCACTGGTCTGAGCAAGGGCAGACTAATGAGAGCAAGGACATGGGGTCAGTCCCCAGCCCAGCACAAGGCGACATCTGTTCTCTGCTCACAGCCGTGCTCCTGAGGCTGGCCAGACATCCAGCAAGTGTGTGACCTTGGGCAGGGCCAGGCGAGGCTGGGGCCGTGCTGCCCCGTCTCTCCCGGCAGGAGAAAACCACTGAGCGCGCACCCTCAGCCAGAGGCAGCCTCCCCCGGGCAGCAGGCACAGCCGTGCAGGCCGGGCCATCGCCCTCCTCCCCACGCGGGGCATTCGGCTCTCCTTTTCTGCTCGCCACCGTCATTTCCTTTCTCCAAAAGGGCATCACCCTCTGTAGAAGCCCTCACTGGCCTTTCTGCTCTCCAACTCACTCCCAAACCCCAAGAAAGCCAAAGTGACCCTTTCAAGATGCTTGCAGATGGCATTCCCTCCTGGCCCAGGCGCTGCCTTGGCTTCCTGCGTGATGGGTCAACTTCTAGGATGACCCACAAGCCCCTGGTCCCTTCCTTGAATCGGGTAAGGGCAGGGCCTGTGACTTGTTTCTATGGAGAGTCAAATACAGCCTGGGGGCGGCCGCCCTTCCTCTCAGAGGTCACGGGGTGGTAATTCCCGCCGGGCCCTCAGGCTCTCCCAGGCCTCTGGTGATGCCAGCTGTTGTGCCGGAGGGTGGACTCAGGTCGACAGTCCCTGAGGAACCAAATCTGCGAGCA